AGGAAAGGAAAGGATAAGAGTGTTAAGGATATATATATAGTCTACTTTGATTTTGGTTGAGGTAGATTATCATTTACAGTGTAATCAGTGAGGGGATTCTGCAGACTGTTGAGGGTTCAGCCTCCTGATGAGTCGGTAAAACTCGGACGAAACAGTTTGTCACAGCCCCTCGTTTGTTGTCCTCTTCTCTCTCTCTGCCTACGGTTTACCGGGCAGTTCTGTTTGTGACGATATATATATATATATATATATATATATAAACTCCGACGAAACAGCTTGTCACGGCCCCTCTCGTTTATTGTCCTCTTCTCCCTCTCTGCCTACGGCTTACCGGGCAGCTCTGTTTGACTATTTACTCCTCTTCTCCGTCTCTGCCGACGGTTTACCGGGCAGCTCTGTTTGACAACATATATATATTCTTCGAAGGGTCGGGAAAGGTATTTATCAAATTCCCCCGTTTGCTGCTTTCCGCGAAGTTGTGTGGTAGTGGATGGCCCCGCGTCGTCGCGAGTGTTGACACGACTTGCGGAGGATTTGCGGTGTAAGGAGATTACCCGCGAGTGTCAGGCCTCTGATGAGCCGGTGAAATTCCGGYGAAACACTCATTGCTCTTGTTTGGGTTACGTTATATATATATATATATATAGTCACAAACAGAACTGCCCGGTAAACCATAGGCAGAGAGAGAGAAGAGGACAACAAACGAGGGGCTGTGACAAATATATATATCTTCACAAACAGAACTGTATATATATATAGAGAGAGAGAGAGTCAAACGGAGCTGGCCGGTAAACCGTAGATACAGAGGGAGAAGAGGTCAACAAACGAGAGGGGCTGTGACAAACTGTTTCGTCGGAGTTTCATATACTATATGGATAGATATTAGATAGATGTAAACGTAAATGTAGCTCGCGAGCCAAGCGCAGTGCCTGAGAACATATCGACTGCAAGTCCACTGATGTTCGCAAAAGAAGAAACGAGAGAAAAAAGAAAGGGCCTTTTCCATTTTTCGGAGCATTCAAAGCGAGCGATGATGACAAACAGAAGAAATCGAATCGTAGCCACAGATGAGCCGACGCAGAAGAGGTGGGCACTGGGCGGCGAGACAGGTGGGCAGTGTAGCCAGCCAGCCGATCATTCATAGTCCATGCTAGTCAACTGAGC